TACTGGGACATACGGGATGCTTACGTGGTGTGTCACATGTTGAATTACTCCAAGGCAGTTACAGCAACGACTGCTAGCGTCAAAGGAACTGGTCAAATATGGATTAAATGGCTTAGTTGCTCGGGATCCCAAGAATCTATTGATCAGTGTTATCATGCTGGCTGGGGTAATACTGGTGGATGTGATCACAGGCGTGATGCAGGAGTGGTATGTGGCAAGCCAACACCAGGTACAACTGGATAAGTTAAAAAAAGACACATTGCTGTGATCTTTCTTTTTCTATTCAATCGTGTCAAAAACAAGATTTAAGAATCATCAACTCAACATTCTTGCATTCTTTGCTATATTAAGTTACTTTTTGTGACATTGATTAGAATAGCTACCTATTTATAAAGTGTAACATTACTTAGCTTTCTCAAAATCAAATCAAGCAAAGTAAGGAATGTGATTAGAATGCTGGTTGTTCATCGAACAATATTTGTTTCAGAGGAGAAAGCGATCACAGTTCGTCTGGTGGGAGATCAAAACCATACTGGCAAAGTAGAAATCCAGTATCAAGGGACTTGGGGAGTAGTCTGTCAATATTTGTGGGATATACGAGATGCTCACGTGATCTGCAGAATGCTTGGTTACAAGGCAGCTGAACACGCAATTTGGTGCATTGAAGGAGAGACACCAAGAAGAGTGCTCATGGATTTTGTGGGATGCAGTGGTAGAGAAAATTCCATAGCAGAGTGTGCTCATAAAGGATGGTGGAATRGTTATTGCTCGAATGAACGTCTTGCTGGTGTGGTTTGTCAGATAAATGAAGGTTAGAAAGACAACTCTACTTTTTCTCAAACGATTCAAATATCATTACATCAAAGCCAATCATCTAAACAGCTCATTTGTTGATCAGAAACGAGCTTTAGTAAAGCTCTATTTATGCTCTTTCATACACTTGTCCAAGTGACAGTTGTACAATGACCTCAATGATGTTGGTACAAATCCACAGATCCTCTACCACTTCAAGTTCGTTTTGCTGGAGGAAGGACAGACAATTCTGGTCGACTTGAAGTCAGGTACCATGGTCAGTGGGGTACTGTGTGTAACGTTGGATGGGAC